ATTCAATAAAACGATCTTCTACTTTTGAGTAGTTTTCTGCAATAGCGTCCAGTGAGTCCATGAGTAGTCCTAGTGTCAGTCCTAGTTCCTTCCATCTCCTCTGAGGGAAACCACATCTCTTCAACAGATTAAGTACATCAATAAGTTGCTCTAAAATCATATTCAATGATACATAGATAGTTAATGAACATTACCAATAGTCAAAGGAGAAGAGAAGAGACTCAGAGAAGAGGAACAAGAACTAGTTTTAGTTGCCATTGATCAAAGAACAAGCTAACCGGATGCAAACTTTACAAAGGAATGACAAGTGAGGGGCTGGTTTAAGGCGGGGCAATTATTGTTATTTTAACCCTCAACATGGTGGCATTGAAAAAGACATCTGGACGAGGATTTGGATCATGATATGGACTTCATATACAGGGAAGAGAGAAAGTTGATGATGAAAATGATGGAGTTACTAACGGCAGCAAAATAACAGATGAGGTAGTTTAAATGTACATGTATACTTGTACATGAGTTTTAGTGAAATTGTGAATTACTGCATGAATTTGTGACTAGTACTATTGAGCATTTAGCACATAGCATAATAATCTTATATATATATATATATATATATTTTTTTTTTTTATTTATTTATTTATTTATATTTATTTATTCATCTATTTAAAATGTTGACAGAATATGATGGTGGATTATTATCATTTAGTAGTATATTTATACTTTATTGTTCTCATCTCTCTCCTCTTATCCTTTCTTTCATTTTTTCTCTTGTAAAAGAATCTCATGTATTTCATGTAACTTGATGTAAGTAATGTAATGTAATGCTCCAAATCACCACAAATTTTTATTACATTTTCTGATGCATATTGATATATTTATGCTGTATAGAAAGTTTGAGTTGATTCCAACATCAATTTCCATTTTTTGAAAATGCCAAAATTCTGAAAAGTATCCAAGGCCATAGCTCATTGTTTTATCCAAAAAATGGCTCCTAAATCATCCCAATTTTTGTTACATTTTCTGATACATATTGATGTCCTTATGCTGTGTACTGATTCCGACTTTAATTATTGAAGTTACAGCCATTTTAAGAAAATGTCTAAATTCTGAAATACCCAAGGCTATAGCCCATGTTTTTTTTCCAAAAATGGCTCCAAAATCACCCCAAATTTTTATTACATTGTACAGGAAGTTCTTGGAGAAGCTGTTACTTGTTAACTTGTACCTCGGGTTGTGTAACCTGACCCACAACATTGTTTTAATCCTTGCATATGTACACTATGATTATCATTAACACCTACTCTATCTATCTCTGCCTCAGGTCTAGGTGGATCCCTTTCATCACACAGAAGGCAGCCTCTATCTTATGACAATCAAAGAGAAGACAAGCCCCAGGATAGCTATGACCAGCGTCCATATCCTGATTCGTTTCATGACGGTGATCCATACAATGGAAAGGAGGATGTAGATCGTCCATACAAATATAATGAGGACACTAATGCAGAGGAAACTGATGAGGAGGAGGATTATAAATATAACGATAAATCAAAAGAGACGACGGATAATAACGAATACCATTCCTCCTCTAGTGACAATTATCACAATCAGGACGGGCAGGACCCTGCAGAAGAACCAGACCTTCCTCCTCCTTCCTATCCCACGGCTCCCTCCTCCTACTCGTGTAGGTTTCATTATCACTCTAACTCATTGCCTAAGGGAAAGACCAAGGTATCTTATCTTCATTTTATCGGTGCCGCTCACTCTTACAAGGAATTTGCCGATCTTTGTTGTCAACATGGCCGAAAGTGTCAGCTAGGCTGGTTGTTTAAGAAGAAGTGTTTTGCTGTCGGTTGTAACTCTGCTGAAAAGGATAGGTGTACTCCTAAGGCTGTTCCTTATGATGCTAAGTATAGTAGTAGTGTTGTTGTAATGTCTTTTGTTAAGAAGACCAATCATGATAGTCATAATAAAGATGAAAGCTCTTTCTCTTCTACTGTTGTCCCCCAACCATCTTCCTCCTCCTCCTCCTCTTCCTCTGATTATTATTCTTCTAATTTTTATTCTCATTTTGTTGCCACGACGAGGTCGTCGTCTTTGTCTTCGGTTGTCACTACAACTCCAAGCTCATCCTCTTCCATTATCAAGGCAACGCCACATCCTAAACCACCACATAGGAATCACAGATTAATCAATAATGGTGAGTTAGAAAATTAAGAGGATTGCCTTGTTAATTTTTGTGGATTATCTGTTTAAAATGAGAGTTGGTTTAATGTTGTTTATACTGTAAACTTTGTACTTATAATTATGTGTATTGCATGAAAACTATTTGCATAGCAAATATGTATTAGTATAATTACTGTTGCTATTTAAGATATTAAAATCTAATTAGTGAAGCAGTTACAGTAGCAGTGAGTTTTGCATGTCATACACAATGTATGAAGTAGGCAAAGGTCAGTGGTGGCTTCAATTTATTAATGCTTTGGGTAACTTCATATTAACATTATACTCTTGATATTAATGATAATTATTGTAAGACTGGTTTTATTATTTGTCATTGTGTACATTGATATTTATAGTGTACATTATGATGTAGAATGTAATAGTGAGTCTTTTAGAGCCTGTTATGACAAAACACCATTCTCCTAGATGTGTATGTGTATTATCATTCATCAGTACATACTGTATTGTTATTACATTGTGTCCGTGTCTGTTTCCTGTCTCTTATAAACAAAATGTTTTCCATAAAGACAAATGTACACGTGTCTATTCTGTTTGCTTATTTATTAACATTATAATTAATACCTTTCTCGTAATTATTATTTTTTTTCTCCTCCCATTTCTTTTTTCCTTTTCCCCATATGCACCCACTCTTTTTCTATTCTCCTATTCTCCTTTAATATTCTCTCCATCTCTCCTCCTCCTCTCTCCCTACAGTCCTTACAGTAGCAGTTGCTAATAAACATCCAGTTATTACACTACCAACTGATCATATTAAGATATTCTCCAGTACATGGCCTGATTCATCACCAGGTGTTACTTATCATTATCATTGGAGGAGATTGTTTGGTCCTAACAAGGGAAACCTCAATGGAGTCAATGATAAAACCATCTCATTGAGTCACGTATGTTATAGGGAGGGAGAGGGAATCCAAGTACATGCACTGTATGTGTAATACGTATGTTCCTGTGCCTCTGATGTTAAGTTGGATTAAAATTTATTGTTAAATTAGGATATACATGCACCATATTTCCTCAGATAAAAGCCTGGACGTCTATTTCTTAAAATGGCATTTAGACCTCAAAAAAATTTAATAAAATAAAACTTGAGCCAACAGCAAGATTCAAACCAGTGAACTTACGCATAAGACTTCAGCAAGCCTAAAGAAGTACAATGTATTTACAAGGCATCAATGTCATTGTATGGCTAAATTTGTGTATTTATTGCTATTGCACCTAGCTTTTATAATTCCCTAAATTGCGTCAACACATCCTGTGTGTAATGTATAAGTATTGTATTTATAAACTTCTTAGTCTCGCCCCGCCCCTTCGCTACCTGCGGAGGAAGGGTCTGGAGACACTCACGCAAAAAGTGTGTGGAAAGAAGAACACGTGGTTGGCTCTATGTCATGTGACAGAGGAGACCAGATTTGTCAAGACAGCTTAAACAGATGCTTTGCAGCTAAGAAAAGATGAGGATACAGTCTCTTGGACATCTCTTGCAGATTTGAGAGCAGCAACTCTTCACAAAGCGCCATAATATTTACTTTTTATTGATGACGTTTTATTGTAAACACGTGACAGTATTATTACGTCATAAATGCGATGGCATAGTTGTAGTAAGCAGCACAGTAATGCTGCTCTTAAACTTTGAGAAAGAAGTCCAGGGAGCGTTACAGGCTCCTTCCTTCCTTTATTAGGTTCTCATTCTTCCTCTTTTGTCTTAAACAGAGCTCTTCGGTCACATGACTTTTTGTCCTACACGTGGTTCGAGCAATCTGATTGGGATGTGGATTTCTCTGCATGAGCACACATTTTTACCGTGAGTGTCTCCAGACCCTTCCTCTGCAGGTAGCGAAGGGGTGGGGCGAGACTATAAACTTCTTTGAATTTTATTTACTACGGTAGTGTAGTCATACATGTATCTACTTACATAAGGCACCTGGGATGACCAGAAGGCATCTTAATTATTATCAATACAATAATAAAGTATTTAGCATACATATATTTAAGCATCACACCTTGGGGATTTGGGAAAGTGTTTTAGGAATGACTTGGGGGTTTTTGAAAAGTATTATGATATTATGATTATGTACTCTTGGTATCACATGTGAAAAGTGTTGAAGTTATTTCGCAATTGAACAGAATTTATACAAGATAAAGTTTTACAAAAAGATACCATCTTAAATAGAAAATAACTAAATGAGAACATTATTGAATTTAATTAAAAGACCTTACGAACATATAACAAGTGAAGCCTCATGATAAGGTTACATTGTCTTTACAAACTGGACAAAGCTGTCCAGCTCATTGTTCAGACAAAGGAGAGCAAGAGCATAAGGCTTCACACACAAATTAAAACCAAGTTTGCAACCATACAACTAACATCTATATAATTAATCAATAGTTAAAAAACTACATGTACATGTAATAACTATAATAACAAATCATCATACTGATTAGTTTTAATAAAAAGTACTGGTGCATCAAACTGATCAAAGATATTTTTAAAGTTGGGCCTGTCATAATCATTATATTTCCCACAGTCTATGATAAGTTTTATAAATGGTTCAGGACAACCTTGGGGTATGGGCATATGATAACCTTTTGATACTGCCTCCTTTACTTCTTTATCAGTCATACCAGGATATGGTTCCTTTCCTTTGGTAGCCAGTTCCCATAGTAATATACCAAATGACCAAACATCAGATTTAATACTTAGTTGGTTTAAAGCATATCCTTCAGGTGCTGTCCATCTTATAGCTAGCTTAGTTCCTTTCTCAATAGTCCAGTATTTATTGCCATTGAGGTGTTGAGCAAGATGAAAGTTTGCTATCTTGAAAGTGTTATGATCTCCTAATAGTATATTGATGGCTCTTAGATCACAATGAATGTAATCTTGTTCTCCTAGATAAATCATACCTTCAGTAACTTGAATAGCAATATCTACCAACTCTGCTGGTGTAGGATTATTTGTAATTAGATATTGTTTGAGGTTTCCATTGATTGGTTCTGTTATAATGTAAAAAGGATAGCTTTCAATACAAACACCATACAGACTGATGATGTTCTGATGATGAAGTTTTTGCAATTTAATGATTTCTTCAATAAATGTTTCTTGTGTAATATTTGTTGCTATATTTGTCTTAATGGTAACTGTCCCTTTACCTTTCCAATCACCCTTCCATATCTCTCCAAACTTTCCTACATGCAAGCATTTAAAAGACGTAATTTTTGACTTATTAATTTTCAATTCTTTGTTTATTGCCATGGTTCTGCAGATTGTATGTACTTGTTTGGGCATAGGAACTGTTAGTGAGCAGGCCAGACCATTAGCTTTCATCATGTAGTGATGTACCAGGTCATTGAGCGAGTCAAACTTGACACGAGGGTTCATGTAATACTTATTATCCTCAATGTATATACGGTAGTTTCTGATAGTAAATCCATCATTAAGTGAGAGGGCATGCTGTCCAGGTTTGCTTTCACTATCTCTAATTAGGAAAGTACCTGCTTGAGTGTCTGCTTGACTCATTTTCTTCTCTGCTTTATCACGACTCACCATATGATAATAGGTGTACTTGTGCCTATTGAATAAAGGAATTTTAATTACATCATATTAATACTGTATAGCAGAAAAATTTTGTGGATTTTGTTTTTAAAATTTCACACAAATAAAATTTGCGAAAATTGATTTAATACTGTTCAAGATGGCCAAAAAGTAGAAGATCATGAAAATTAAAACCATGAAATTGATTTGTGGACGAATCAGCAAAGTTTTTGAGCCATGAAAATTTTTCGTTATACAGTATTTATTAATAAATGTTACTTTCATGCATGTACATTTATATGTAAGGTAGCTATAAAAGTTGCCTAAGTATATGTTGGGACTTAATTAAGTTATTATTGGTGGTTATTCAAATTTGTGACTAAGCTAAGAAAAAATGCTTCAAAGTTAAAACTCCACTTTGTTGTATTAATTTTTTTACATTTTTAAGAGTTCTCCTTCAATTGGTATCATGTATTTAAGTGAGACGCGGCCTTTACTGTCTGTATGAAGTGAATGCATATACCACCATTCATCATCTTCATGATATTTAACAACTTGAAGTACTTCTCCTGTAATGAAGAAAAATGTGTAAAGATTGGCTCATTTAAGCTATGAAATCATGCATTTAATTATATAGATACTGTAAATGTTCAAATAAAAGTCGGACAATAATAATTGCATAAAAAAATTAAAAATTAAAAGCAGGATTCAAATTTTCGACCCTAGGATCAGTGAACTCAGCTTAATGAAACACCATGGTGTGTGACCTTGCTGCAATAGCTGTTTGATTATCATCATTAAAAGAGCTTTGGCATGAAGAGAGTCTGTTGCAACATATAGCTTCCTGCAGTTGCACTTGCTCTGGAATACCATACAGAAATAGCAGCACATACAATGCAAGCTGCTCCAGCTCCTCCTAGCTTGAAAGGTGTGGCATTACATTATCAACATCTGCAATCATGGCAGCAAGCCATGTGAGAAAGAAGCTTAACATTTTCTGTTCATATTTTTTGAAGGCCATGTTCTAATCTACTGGAAGCTATCTCTAGAGTGCCTTCACAAAGGAACTTAGCTCAACTACTCAATTTTCTTACTTTGAAGCTTCTTGTACCTAGCGCTTTTATTTGAGTAACACAAAACAGTTGAGAAAGACTTTTTCAGGTCAAAAAGAAAGACCTAGTAGCTTGGAACATGCTGTACTAAAGTTATAGTTTATTAAAGACAAAACTCAGCTGTGCAGAATGAATGAATGAGACAGACACAACAAGTACCTATACCTCGCATAGGTGAGGCCAACAAGTTAGGCCATTTGGGACACTCTAAAGTCAATGGTATAAAAAACCTATATTGAATAAAATATGCGTGTCTATACTTGGAGATTATTAG